TGGCTTTTGGACCAAAGATGGGGTCGTTTTTGTTTTTAACTGGTGATGAAACTTTGGTTCATTATATTCTTATATACAAGACTCACAAAGACAATCGCCGTATGCAATTTTTTACGAATTGAATTTTTTTACTTAATAACTTGAGCGATATGTACAGTTTTAAAGCAATATTGAAAGAAATATCGTCAGTTAAAAACAGCGGAATTGCTGGGTGGCCAAAAAGTCAATGAGCTATACATTCTTTGTAAAATTTCTAATTTTAAAAAGATAATTTCTCTGAAATCTTCCGGCCTGTGGTGCTCAAATTTCCAGTGATAACTGAAATTGTTATGCCCTTTCAATATTCAAAGGTTTAATTTTATTAGCGTCAGCAGATAGTGATATGCCAGTGCATATGTTAATGAGGCAAAAATGTAAACAAAGATTCGCCCATAGAGAAGTGTTAACAAATGTTGGTAAGGACATGGGGGAGTGTGTCGTCTCATTTTATGCGTATTATGGTATCTCTTGTTATAACGTGCCTATTTCCTCATAGAGAGGAATGGAGTTCATGTTCATTTATCATCAAATGGAAAAGTTCGGTGGCTTGTCAAATAAAAAGGTAAGCTTGTGATTGCGTTAAGAGCAACGGCTATCTCCTCTAAACCCCTCCACTGGTCCTTCTCAACGCTAAGGAGATTCAGAGTGGTCTGGTTGCCACATTGAAGTGGTGTTTCGTTACGTTGTGTTTTTAAGGTGTTTCGATACAGTCTTTCGGAGATCATACCGATATTTTTTTAATCGTCTTAAAAGCGATTTTATCCTCGTCCGATCGCCATTTAAAATTTCACCTCAACTAACCTTGGATTGAAGTTTGTCAAAATGTTGTTTTTAAGTAAAATTGATATTACCGTGACAACGATAAACAAAGTTAACATCTTTTAAATCAGTTAAAGACGAATTTTGTGACATCTAGGCCAAAAACATCCTGACCAACATCAGGAACTTAAAGTGTGGTGTTTGTCAAATAACCTCTGTGAAAATAAGAAAAAATTCTGAAATTCTAAAAGAAAAATATTAAGAAGAAAAATAATAAAAAATAAAATATAAAAAATAAAAAAAAAATCTACCTGTTTGAATTCTAGTAAAAGGCAAATATATTCTAAGCCTCATGTTTTCAGTAGTCATGGTAAATGTAAGAATAAGCAAATTCTAAATAACTAAAATTACTCTAAAGCATCATCGCAATGCGGCGTAATATCATATTTCCATGCTAGGAAAGTTTGGTGTATTTCTTTTTTTTTCGCGATCCTGGAAACCAACTTTCTTTCCGAACACTTAGCCTGAGAAAACAGACGACATTTCGTGACGCCACAACTGGTTTCTCCGCCAAATGTCGTTGAGAAGCGAGCGCAGAAATTCCAGACTGATGACTCGTCACTACCCTGATCTGGCCAGTGCTTCTGATTGGTTGAGGCAAATTTTCCTCGTGGCACGACCAATCAGAAGCACTACCCAGAACTAGGTGGCGATACGCCATCAGTATGGGATGTCGGCACTCGTTTCTCAGACGTCGTTTGGCGGGGTGACCAGTGGTGACGTCGCGAAATGTCGGCTCTTTTCTCAGGCTGATCTTTTAAACGTTAACAAGTCTTATTTATTTTGATTATTTTTTCAATTCAGGAAGAACCTTGAAGAAAACAATTGTGTTGTCAAACATCCTGTGACAGGCGCACAAATCGATTTTCATAAACTTGCGAGCAGTAGTGGAAGGTAACAGTTTTTTAAGCGTTTGTCTCATTGATACATGAATGAAATTCTCAGTTACTACGTGAGAAATGTGTCTAATTTTTTTTATTTCTAGCTTTATTTCAGCTTGATCCATTATTCCACAATATGTAGAAGTACATATATGTAGTGTGATAAAAACAGTCGACGTGACTACAACTCAAAGCTAAGTTAACTGTTGTTATTCTACGTTTTTTCAGTACATGGACCATTACTGGTATAAAAGAGGACAACAAAAAAGTGGTCTATAAGATCAACATTTGCGGTAAAGTTACCTGCAATCAAAAGGAAGCTGATTTCTGTTATGGCGACCAGGCCCTGATATCCGCTGGCAAGAAGTTCTTTTATGATGGTAAAACCGTAACTTTCTGATTCATTCTTACAGTGAAGGTCACGATTATTGCCAACTGACAGAGTTTTTCACATCTTTTTGGCATTTCTTCAGCCTAGGTCTGACGACTGTTGTGGTTCCTTGTACTGTCAAACCAGTCCGAATTCAAGATGTTTTGTAGGTGGAATCATACAGTTTCAAAAGACTTGAAATGAAATAAAACACGATGGAACCTATTTAACGAATATCCATTGTCGTCAACGATCTTCAATGTAAGGGGTGTGTTTTTGGACTATGTCGTCATTTTACCTAACAGACGGGTCTTTGTTGACATTTTTACCTCATATTCACTCAGCTTATTTTACCCCTGATCAAGCTATCAAAATATCATACCTGAATATTAAAAGTAAAATAATAATATTAAGGCTAGTGGGTCGAGCAAACAACTGAAACGAATAATAAACCCTTGCACGGTATTTTTCAAGTTTTGATAAAGACCAGTTAACGAATATCCATTGTCGATACTGCTGAAAAGCGCACCTGAAAATTAGTAAAAATACCGGCTGTTTGAATTTGGTATGCTACAAACGAGCAAAGATATTGCTCCACTAAGTCGCGACATTTTGCAGAAAAGAAATTGTGCGTTTTTAGATCTGAAGTGAACATTTGATGGGAAGCAACAGCCCAAGTTAAACCACAGCAAGAAAAACATTTTTTTTATTGATTTGCCCATGATATAATCTGATTGCTTTTCATGAATAGTACCAAACTCTTTATTTCTTTATTATATGTTTGAATTATAACGAGCTGTAAATATTTTCTTCCTAAAGTAATTCCATAATAACATCAAAATGTTTTTATTTTGTTTAAATGGAAATAGCGTATTTCCTATTTTTTCTTTCCCATTCTCCAATAATACCTGATTCGTGAACGAATTTGTTTGCAGGTTCTTTTTTTTCGATGGAGATGACTACATCCAGCCCTTGCCCGGATACTGATTCTAAACAAGTGGTAGTGATCAACTTTCAGTGTTCGGCGGGTGAGAAAGTGGTAAGAAGTCCTCTTTCATTGAAGCAACATCCCATTGTCTCTCCAACCCCCTGAATCAATCTTGTAATTTTTGTCTCTTGGTCTAATGCTATGCAATGGAGATATATGCTTTACTGCGGACCGAGCCGTGAGCTCAAAAAGAACGAGGCCAATTTCCAGTCTTATTATATGGCTGAATCCGCGAGAGGGCAAGATGAAGCGGGTCCTGTGTTCTGACTGGTTAATCGAGCGGGCGAGATGGCTCTTTATTGCCGGTTCAGGACTTCCCGCGTTGATTCTTCAAGAAAGATTCTATTTGGCTCCTCTATTGACCAAGCTTATTCGGTAAAGATGGCTAAAAATTGGCCAGGTTTTTTTTGCGTTTTTATCGACCTCGACTTCGTTTTGAATATAAAAATGCCAATAAAAAAGACTGGGCCATTATCCAACCATCTTTACTGAACAAGAACGGTTAATAACGCATATATCTTGACCTAAGGCATTGGTTTGTGAGGGATCTATTATAAAGGATCTTTTATTTAAAAGTAACTTTTGTCATTGCTGCAACACGGCGCAAAATCCCGAGCGGGCAAGATGGGCCCATGTTGCCCGCTCGGGTAGCCAATCAGTCCGCAGAATTTATTTTACCAGCTCGGCAGGCCATACGATAATTTGGTATATTGACTGGTAAGAAACACTAGGCGAATTGCATAATTTGGGTGCATGTTTGTCGCTTAAAACGCCCATAGTGATTCAAATGGCTTGTATAAAGGACCACGTAAATTTTGCCTAGTTTGACAAGGAGTACTTCTAAGTGATTGTAGTCTCATTTTTTTTTCAGGGAAGTCCCAAGTTTGAATATCTTTCCAGTGTGTGTCATCATGTTTTCTCTTGGCCAACTTCTATTGTTTGTGCAGGCGACTTGTAAGTTGCTATGGGCCTTAACTTTAGTGCCCCTTTTGTAGCGAGGCTTGAATCAGAAGTAAAATACCAAATTGATTGGTGTGAACGATACGAGCCGCAGTGGCGTTGCGAAAATCGCAGTGTGACCACATAGAGCTCCGTCTTCGACCACCTCCCATAGGCGCATAAGCGAGCATGCGGAAACAACAAAAGTATCCTTGTAAAATGACTACGGCTTGATCCTTTCGTGAGCAACCGCTGCCACCTTTTACAGTTAGGGGTTTATTGTTCTAACTGTTTTAAACCTTTTGTAAACGACCACTTGACGCATGGTTTGATCTCCATGTTCGCTTTGTGTACTACACTACTCATAGTACACGAAGATCTTTCAGCGAGAACATGGGGCTGTACATATTGTATACTTAAAAAATGCATGTACCAAACTCTTGTCCAAAAAGTAGACCTATCTTCTTGGAAGAGAACCCCTGTGGCTCGATTCTTGTAAGCGACCAGCTCCCGTAAGTGGCCACTTAATCTTTTTTGTGCTCTAGGTGGTCGTTTATGGGAGGTTCGACCGTATAAAAAACGAGCTAAAGTTGAAGTGTTAGATTGCAAAGGTTGATATCCACCTTTATAGGTTTTCTTTACTGAATTTGAAGGCATTTTTTTATTGTGCGTGAACCTCTCAACCTCTCAACAATGCTGGTCTCGATCCCGAACTTATAAGTGGAGAACGGGTCAATCGCGAGAAAAAGCCGGCTGATAAGTTCAGGTTTTTAAATAGTCTTGTGTTTAATTTGACAAAAATCAAAATGATGTCATTTAATACCAATCCATAATGCATAATCACAGGGTCCAGAGGAGATGTGTTTGTCGTTAGAACATCAAAACCCGTCGAAAACATCTGAAATAATGGGTTATTTTGATCGCGTTGACGATCACCGGTTACAATTTCGTTACACATTCTGTATACCGCAAACCAAGAGACTGAGGGCTCGCAAGATCGGCTTACAGTATAAAATACTTTTTTACAGTATAAAATGCTTTTTTACAGTATACTTTTTTACAGTATAAAATACTTTACAGTATAAAATACTTTTTTTTACTCGGCACTTCGTGCCTCGGTCGCCCTTCGGGCGACGTGCCGTGCGCCAGCGAGGCTATGGCTTGCGGTTATTGATTTTCAAAATGGCGAACAACAAAGTCGATCTGGGTCAGATAAGAAGCGAAGAAATCGTTTACAGTAGATTCATAAAGATCCCATTGGGCTAATTAATTGTGCTAAGCGACAAGTATAGACATTTTTCAAGGTGAGACTTTAATTAAGTAATTTATTTATTCACACGAAACTCCTCTGGACCCTGTGGCATAATGCGTAAAAAATGTTTTCATGACATCGCGTTATCATATCATCGATGCGTGCAAATTATTGCTCATCAAATTTGCAGCGTGTCGTCAGCGCGAGTGATCCGTGTTATTCATAGAAGTTTGTTTCACTCTTACGGTAGGAACTAGTCTGATTATTGTGTTACTGTTTCTTTGCAGGAGTCGAGATGTGACTGATATTCCTGCTGTACCAAAATCGCGCAGTTCTTCGACGAGGAAAAACGTGGGAATCGCCTTTAGCGTTGTTTTTGCTGTTGTTCTGGTTGTGTTTTTAGCAATTATTTTCCATAAACGATCCAGAAGGCAAGTCTTTTCTTTTCCTTTCAATACTAAGATCATGAAGTCAGTATATGTCACTGTACTTCATAAGGAGCTCATAACCCCGGACAGAGCAAATCTATTACTAGGCCTACGTCACGGCGTTTTCGGTGACAGGTTTATTTTTAGATTCATTTTATCGTTTTTTATCTCGAAAATGAAAGGTTCGCTCCTTCGATGAGCGCATTCGAAATATAAGAAAAAAAGGTAAACTAAACGTCATTAAAACTAAAGAAAAACATTTTCAGGTCTTAATTCTGCAGACTGCTTTGTGGGACTTAACAAGAAATTCTAAATTCGCGCCAAAATCATTCCACTTATAATAAACTGGTCTGCGAATACTCCATGTCGTGATTACGTGGAAGTTGCTCGCCCCCGGTTATGGGCTCCTGACTTAATCCACTGCAAAGTTCACCAGTTGTTAAAAGAATAAAGCATTGGCAGTCTAATTAGTTGATGTTAGGCGTCCAGCACGGGTTCTCTCGCAGCCATGTCAGTCGTGTAGTAAAAACCAATACTATGAATGCAGTAAACTTAGTCAGGTAAATTGTGAACTACACTCGTCTATAATTTTACTCAGATTGAGTTCTGTTTTTTTTTGTTATCGCAGGCATTCTATAATTTCTTGTGTGCGGTGGAACTTCAAGAGACATATTCTTCGTCAGGAAATAAAATATCCAGTGTACAGATATCAGAAGGTATCATATTTTGAAATCGACAGTCCAGTTGGACATTTTCATTGTTTCTTCTCTTGTCTAGTAACCAAGAGCAATGGCATTTGAGAGCATGAAAAAGTACTTTAAAATTGACACTAACAAGAGAATTGAATTTTGAAGTAAAGAGCTCAACAGCTTTCATTTCAATCTGAGCAATTCTGAGATTTACCGTCTAACAAAGGCAAAAGCAAGAGCAACGATAAGGCCATTTATACGAGGAAAAATAAGACGCGTCTTACATAAGACGCGAACTGTATCATTTATACGAGCATGTCTTATCTAATAAGGCGCGTCTTATTTTAGACGAAATGTGCCGTTTATACGGAAACTTCGCCTCTTATTTAAGACGCGTCTTATTTTTCCTCGTATAAATGGCCCTATTGTGCAGTTTTCGAAACAGCATGATAGGAAAGTACTTCCTCAACGTAAAGAGATACGTTCGGCTAGAATTGTATCAAATTAATTTAAAAGAGGTCTTTAAACGCAGCCAAAAAGTTCAGTACTGTGCCTTTCAGCCGTCCATCTTTCTCAAAGCTTAACAGTACGGTGAAAAAAAAAAAGGTTAAAAACTGCGAATGGTTTCAGAAACCTTAAATAGGCTCTTGTAGCTGTTGATTATGCAAATCATGCAAAGTCACTCTGCCGAGACTCTCCCGGTTGGGCTGGGAATGGAGATCATTCAATTGGTTCCGGCCATATTGGGGATAGCTGATTAGCCAACTGATCCCTATTTATAGCAGGCTATGTTTAAAGAACTCTTCAAAATTTCTATCATTAAATGTGTCATTACTAAACAGAATAGTGGAAAACTACTAAGGCCAGGTTCAGACGCCGCTCCACTCATGTGCCGAACCTAACTGATGAATTAAGTACGGCAAAAGAGCGGCGTCTGAATCAATTTGGTGCGGCAGTTTTAGTTTGGTGCGGCAAAAGCGATAAGTTCGACAGAGTCTGTCGAACTTTTGTCGAACTTAACTTAGGTTCGACACACGGTACGCCGTCTGAATCAGATGTCGCGCCAGTGTCGCTCCAAAGTCGAACTTATTCAGTTAGGTTCTGAACATGAAAAGTACGGCGTCTGAACCAGGCCTAAGCTAGCTATGCTTCGGTCTTTACAGCTTAATGTCACAGATGACGATGAAGTAGATTCTCTCATCAAGGAAGCTGAGGGTAGTGATGAAGAGCAAGATGACGACGACGACGACGACGACGACATTTTACCATTTTAGCGTAGAGAAACTGGGATGCAGATCGCACCGCTGGCTGTCACGTTTGGAGACACCTAATCTTCAGATGCGTGGCGATCTGGCCTCTTACTATTCAAGAAGAGAAGAACCGCGGGTACAGGGTCATATTCGCCCTTTTGTCCTGTGATAAGATAGAAATTGAGCGTAAAAGGAAGTAATTTCGATCAAGTAGACGTAGACCATTGCAGACTAGAGTGCATGCACGTAATTTTTGCAGAGACTGAAAGCAACGAGTTGCATTTTTTCCCATTGGTGGTAGTTTTCTCTCTTAAGAATATTCACAGTACGTAATACGTCCGGAATGCAAATTACAAGGTAGTGCGGCGTTTTGTAATGGGAAGTTGTACCCATTATGCCCAAAATTACGCCGGCATAATGTATCTAACACTAGTGTAGCTGGTTAGGACATGAAACTCCTGCACTACAGGAATAAAAATTAGGCAAAATGTAAAAGTTAAATTTGTATTTAAAATCAGGGAGCTTTTTGTTACAGTCTAATAAACTGTTTTCATAAAAACAAGTGTTTCTTCAGTACTGAAATTTTGGATCAATTAAGGTTTCAGGGAAACTACCCACCTACCCCTTCCCTAAGCCATCATTTTGCTTTAAGTGAGAAGTAAGTGTTAATGTTAGCTTTGGGGAGGAGTAGGTGGGCAGTTTCCCAGAAACCTAATTTTGTTCCATAACTGACGCATAAGGCGATATCGTTTTTAAAGTGCTTTTGGCAAAAGAAAGGTGAGAGGCAAGAGATATTAAAGGAAGTAGGCCCCAGGAGTATGCGGTCGGAACGTAATGGCCAAGAACCCACAGATCATAGAGTGAATGTGGTGAGAGAAACGAAGAACAAAGTCTATCGCGGTACACCAAGCACGATGAATCTTATCTTTATTATATTCTTCGTCCTAGCTCTACGTAACAATGAAACTATAGTGCGTAAATGTTTCCCCTGTTCATAATGCTCATCTTCTGATCATTGTAGCACTCCCATTTCTGGCTCACTGCTTGCTGCCTGTCATGGAAAAAACGAGCATTAAAACTATTAAAAAGATAAAAAAATAGTGTCATATTGAATAATTACCATTCAGGGCTGTGGACAAACGAGTTCGATACACACAAAGCGACGGGATAGGAACAAGATCTGGAACTCGAACTAACAGAACTGAAGAAATATGATTTCTTTATTGTAGTTAGGCATCGAGATATTTCCGCTAATCAAGCTAATGCTTGATTAGTCTAAGAGGCAGCGTGGCCGAGAGCGTCGGACTTGCAATTCAGAGGCCCCTCGTTCAAGTCCCGCTCTGACAGCTAGCTGGATTTGTTCACGGTAGTACCGAGTTCAAATCCTCGGCCACGCTTGCAAGTAGCCAGCTGGTTTGCCTCCGGCCAGTTGGGATTCTTAGCCCTGTTGAGTTCAATTTGAATTATTTGTTTCAGGCATTTGCTCGGCCCTACTAGCATTAGTGCTATAAATACTACCGAGGGTAAATAACGGAATTATTATTATTGTTTTTACGCTTGTTGACATAAAAATGAGGTGCACCTACAAAATGGAGTGTGTTTTTAATAAACTTATCGTAGTTGCAGTTTTATAGTAAAAATCGAGTTAAAAATGCCACGAAAATGATAGCTCTCATGCGGATAAGGAAAGGGAATATCTTACGAGGAAGGCAGTTTTCCCATTTTTTGTCTTTGTCATAGTTTGATGTGGTGGCACACCAAGGCATCCACACCCAGTCAATAATGCATTTGTAATGTTTTTCTCCTTTGTAAATGAACGGAAACACACAGCATTTGTCATTCTTCGTCTTCCACGGGCAGGCTGCAAAACAAGAGATCGTACTGAGTCAGTTTAGCTCGGAATGTGAACAGGACTCTTCAGGCAGACTACAGGGAGACTGCGCGTTAAATTGTTTCGCACTAGCTAGTTTGGTTTTTCGATTGTGTTATCAGCGTTGGCGACGTGAAAAAGCCCCTTGCTTGTCTTGTTCTTTGTTATGGGGACTAACGCGAGTAGATTTCTCTTGCTGTTTTGGCGCTGCGCAGTTGTTAAACACTACTGGCCTAATTTGCCTGTTGCATTTAATAGTTGGAACTTTAAGTCTGGCACGCGAGGTCCATATGCGCATACGCATAATACATACGCATGTCAAGGATTCTTCTTCATTCCAAGTGGAGCAGTGGCTCGATTTAACGAGCAGTAGAGCTTAACTAATCAGGTTCTTGATGAAATCACCCTCGGCTGGCTATGGATAAGATCCTGTTTTAGTCCAGACTATAGCTTCATTAAGCGGCTAACGTTGTCTCTTTCACCCTTCTTTAGTTTGTTAATGAGAAGTGCACACTAAAATGATGCTTGGCTATCTCATTCCTGTGTTTTGGTGTTGTTCACACCAGGCTTGACATTTTCCGGCACCTGGCTATGTCATGCTGGTGTTTAAGTCACACCCTGGCTTGACATTAAAAGACGATTGCATGGTTATAGACAAGACCGTGACACCTGGTATGTCATGCCGATGGTCGAACAAAGTTTACGTAAGTTTTGGCTTAAGGTCCGACCGCTGGCTCACTGTATCTCTGTAATCATTTTTTGTTAATTAAGAGTAGCAATTACCCTAAGTGGTCTTAGGATGGGATGATTGACTCAGCCCGTCTAGGAGCTCAGGTTTGATCGTGCCTGAACTAAGCGCCTGAGTTCTAGGCTGTACATGTTAGTGAAAGAATGTGATGTGGTAGCTATTGAAATCTTTCTTACCGATGGCGCTTCCGTATATTTCTACCCGCATGCATGGTTTGTAGTTCCATTCCACCGGGATAAAGCGAATAAAATGTGCGGTAATTGGACGATTTAAATCATGTTTAATCATGTCATCGGAGTTAGTGTTGCCTGTGAACTCCTGCAAGGGAAGAGGAAGTTAAAATTTGTGCTAACTATCTGAAGAAATTTTACACTTACAGAGAGCCTGCAATACATGGGAAGCAAGCTAACAAAAAACTTACGCACACGCACAATTTCATGTACATGTTGTATTTGATTTTTTATCTCAGGTAATTTTTGTTTTTCTTTTGTTTTTGGGTATGGTAATGTATGCTAATGAAGTTGAAACAGGAAAAGAAAAATTAACTACAACATACATATACACTAGATTTCCACTTCTGTTAGGCCAACCTACTAACAAAAGATAAAACATACAAATAAACCAGGATCTTAATACATGAAACACCGGTATGTAGGTGGTGAGGAGCTGGAACTCATATTCAAGAGCCTGCCTGATGGCTAGGCCGACAACTGCATTCAATTCGGATGGGAGCATCGATATCTTCTACACACTTGGCTTAGGCCAGGACAGAGGCCCCAGAGTATTGGCCTGTATGTTACCCAACTAACTAACCTAACCATTTGGCTTTTCTTTAGATAGATAGATAGATAGATAGATAGATAGATAGATAGATAGATAGATAGATAGATAGATAGATAGATAGATAGATAGATAGTTCATTAAAACTGCATCGCAGCCAAAGGCTGAATTACGCAATTATTTACAAAAACTTTACAAAACTTGAAAATTACAAATGAATCCTAGACAATAAGTCGAAAACTAATTTTTAAGATAATATTAAAAATTCTATAGAAATAATAGAGGGAACTGTACCTTAACGGTTCCATTTTCAGTGTAAGTGGTGAAATTCTTGCCGTCCAAGGAGAACTGTAGTCGATATTTCTTAACCCAGTCTGTACTATGCAGAGGCGAGCCCTGGGTAGCGACAGCGCAAACGTTGTATCTGGAAGGAAACTCGATTTGAACATAATGCTTCTTATCCGGGTTTCCTAGTGTATTAGGGCACCATACCCCATCCTCGTTGTCAAGGCGACCAGCCTCCGGTCGGAAGGAGTGAAAGGGTTCCTGCCATGATGATGCGACAATATTCTCATCCGGGATCTCTTTGCTTTGCATTCCGATTGGATGGCCACGACATTTCACGTCTGGTTTAAACAGATAAAAGATTATAAGAGACTGAATGCACCTGAGGACAGTGCTCTTCACATTCATTGTGTGAAAAGGAAGACAGACACCTGTATTGGTGACCAAAAGTGTACGGTTGAGTTTTAAACAATGTGACTGAAGTAAGACCCACTTTTTTTCTGAGCCTTCCAGGGAAAACAAGTCGAAGAAATGTCCCCCAAATTGAAAAGGACGTGGAATCCCGTTAAGCGTTACATGTTACCGAGGGAATTCTAGTACTAGTAAATGGCCAAGAAATTTTTGCACAGGCATTTGCTCCAACTAAGACGAGGTAAAGTTATGGATTTAACACGTCAGAAGTAAGACCTCAAGAGTCGACAGAGAAAATTAAAGTGGAATTCCAGGAGCTTTACTCTCATACAATGTTCTTTTTCAGCTGAAACGAAAGGATAATTATGACTCAGTTACGGACCTCGAACGCTCCTGATTCAAATCACGCTTCGTGCGCTGTAGACAAGCACGGACAACTTCTGTCATCCTTTTTCGGGATCTGGAATAAGGGCGTGGGTGTTCTTTCGGTAGATTCTTTGGACGTTCATAAGAGCATGGACGCTTATTCGAGGGAGTACCGTATAAAGAGCTTTAAAAAGTAATAACTTGCAGAATACAGTTACTGCAGCAATTTACCTTGACAGCGGTAGTTTGATGTATTACAGCGATAAGTGTTCCAGTATTCGTACTAAAAAAGGAAAGTAGAAACGGCAAAAACATAATATTAAACGGTTATTGAATGCAAACAGAAACGGTAAAACGGTTAACAAAAACGTGCAGCTTGTTTTGCAAGATTGCTACAAAACGAGTCCGAAAGCGATGTTCCTCTTTTTACCACCCGCGTTCAAACCTGTTAGCAACCTGAGTTTTTTGCAAGACAAGTTTGATGCGGTAAATAGCTCAACTACGCTTTTTTCTGGTTTTGCAGCAATGTTGCATGACAAGTTACATGCATGTTTTTTTGTTGCCCGTTTTACCGTGCCTTTAAAACAGTTATGATAGTTTGACACGGCAGTAGTCTACATGTCCGGGAGTTTTCACGAAATAACGCGAGAACAATTAACGAACATAGGAGCTACTCATAAGGTCTTTCCCGGTTCGTTCATTTAAGGAATGGTAATTCATTGTTTACCATTGTTTTCCGGTTTGGGTAGCAAATCCATTGGCTTTCAACTTCCTAGCAGCTGCTACATGACCATAATTAATACATGCGTTAAAATTTTTATTCTCTACGTTCTCCCTTCCCCCAGGTTTTTGAATAGTATGAAGCCCTTATATTAGATTTTGTTATATAGGCACCAATGAAATATCACGGGAGCTTTAGCGGAAAAACATGATGCAGTGTCCTCCTTTGCGACATCTCTATTCAAGGGACATCTCTATTCATGGGAAACAAAACTTGGTCCCGGGAAAATGTTCACATAACCTTTGTATCTGTTACCTTTATTGAATGGACAACCTATTGTATCTGTTAAACAGGTTAGGTGTTCAGATCACTTCAAAAATTGAATGGACAACTAAATTGAATGGACGTTAATCATAATTTTTGACACATTATCTAGTGACGTCAGAAAATATATAAAAAAATAATTTGTTGGTTAATTATTAACAAATCCCAGACCAACCACCATTCAAGGGACACCTCTATTCAGGGGACACTTCCCTTGGTCCCGAGGGTGTCCCCTGAATAGAGTTTCCACTGTATCTTTGTACGTGAAAAGATCACCGTTTCTATGGTTACATAATAAATCGCACTTTTCGCTGCAGAAAGGCAAAAAAAGAAAAAAATAATAATTAAGTGAAATGGTTTGGCATTTCCCATTGGAGTTTCAATTAGCGAAATATTCTACATTTAACTGAATGCAAGAAATTTTGTTGCAATGTCAAACTCATTATTGCTGTTTTACATTTAAATTAATTTTATCGAATAAACATAACTCAGAGTAATAGTTTAATAAATGCAGGTGTGAAATTATGGCTCACAAAACGATTAAATAAAAGGTCAGTCGTACCTAAACTGGTAGCACAATTTTAATTCGTTAAAAGCAAAGACATTTCTTTTCTCATTCGCGTAAAAGCCGCCGCATGACGATTTAATCAACTAGATAACTGTGTGCTCCCTTGTAAGGTAGTCTATTGGCCCTATACGGTCCCCAGGGAAATTACCTAGGCCTTTTATACGCCCTAGCAAACAAATTTGCCGTCTTCTCGCAACTCTACTCTACAAAGGGCAAGCAAGTTTCCCTACCCTCCTCCCCTTCAGCGGCGCTGGCAAGTTTTCTCTATCAGCTCACCCTATGCCTTCTGCAAAATTTTTCACCCATAACTTATCTATTAAGAGGCATACGGTAGCTTTTATGCGAATGTGAATTAGTTTACTACTTTAATTCTTTCACCCTAACAGTGACCAAAATATGAGAAAAAATCGCCGATTTTATTTTGAACAATACTGAGAAAAAATTAATTATATGATATTACAGTCGAACCTTTAGCAAGTGACCACCCAAAATGTGAAGACTTACTGGTCGCTTATGGAATTTGAACCACAGGGGGTCATTTGCGAGTTAGATCCTATATAATGGGACACTCAAGGCGGTGGGTACGTACATGAAATCTTTACCAAATCTCTACCAGATCTACTCTTTAAACGAGAGTTTATTGCATGCCGTTTGTAAGTGATAATATGAGTAGTTAAACATTGTAGCTAAACGTTTTTCGTATGTTTTGAGAAGCATAGCACCAGAAAAGTGACATAGGGGTAAAAAGGGGTTGTAGGCTCTTACGAGAGATGGTCGTTTACGAGAGGCTCCAACTATAGAGATTTAAATCTGAAAATCTTGGTGTTTTGGATCTGTAGTTTCCTATGAGAGGTGAATACGTAGGCGGAGAGGAGGATACACAAAGAGTTTTTACTTGAGTTTTCGTTCCACAGGATTTAGGAGCCGAAGGTTTTGAGTAATAGGTCAATCTTCTTTCGTTCTGTTTTTAATTGTTTATTATTATTATTATTATCATTATTATTATTATTATTAATATTTAATAAAGGATGTTTGCTATACTAACCGACTGTTCCGAATGTCCAAACTTTTCCACCACTTCTTCAAAATCACAGGATTCCTCCCCGTAACACTCTTCGTCAATATTGTTGTCAAAGAAACGCTTGTAAAAGGACGAGGCTTCGTCCTTGGTCAAGACCACATCTTGGGCCCGTCTCGAGAAACCTGTATCACAAGAACATTATGCATGATAGTGTGACCTGTCATTTTAAATCAACTGACGAATTTCAATTATCTAGCACCATTCTAACCGGCTGCGAATGTAAACGAAACATTTTTTCCTTACCACAGTGTTGCACATTACTGACTCAGTGATTGACTACAAATTGGATGTTTTTCTCCAAAAATTGGAAACCCGTCACAATCTAGTGGCGTTAGTAAATCACACATAATCTACGGTGAAAATAGGCTTAAAATCTTACAATGAACTAACCACGCTTGGTAGAAAGTTAGTCGGTGTATAGTGCCTACTGCAATCGTCCCATAATCTCGTCCGATAAGAAATAAAAATTTGCATAAAACTAACTGAAAGTAAAAGCTTATTACTGAAGGGAGGAGATTATTAATTATAAACTCAATTATTACTCATCGGAGTTCCCAATGTCCGGGCATATTCTTCAAACGCCTTGCATGAACGGAAAAAAACAAGGTTGGCTGTCATATCGCATAGACCTAATACTGCAGTTTGTTACTCTGACCGAGAAGTGCTTGATATAGCTGCACGAGAAGACCGATTACAGTTTGATTTATGCATTTGAAAAATACTGAGCAACGTTCTGTTAATGATTTAATAAAGAAACGCTATCTATGGTATTGCAACTGTTACTTAACTTACTGAGACAGTTGTGCAAAATAGACATCAGGAAAATGACAATCCACATGGAAGACATTTTTGATGAACAAACTGATGAATGTTGTTGCCTTTTCTTGGAACTGGTAGTTTTGGCGCCTGTTCTGCAAACCGTTAGCGCGAATAACAATTAATCGCCAACCTTCAATTAAAATGTCAATTAAACGTCAGTGAATTGTAACTATTATCTATCAAAAGGCTGAATGCAAATACAGCTGGAAAAATAGCTTGCTAATCACTGAATAGGCTACAAAATAGCTAGGTACGCAGAATCAACATTTACATAGAAATACCAGGTATTGCGATATGAAATTTTGTTAATTCATGAACGAGGACGTAAGTCTGAGAGACGATGTCATGGCTTGCAAAGGGAAAAGTAAACTGGAATAAAATATTAATTTCAAGGCCTTGTTTTGACTAAGAATCATTATTTTGGCATCATAGTTTGCTACTGTTGAGAACAAACGGTTTCTTAATTAAGCTGCAAAAGGAGGGTCAAAAGAGGAAAAAGTGTGGAGAAAAAAGTTGTTTTTTCTGAACGCAGTGTCAAAAATAAACATACATTTACAAAGTGGTTTTCATCTACTATTTTGGATCGAATTGGAATTAAGAAAAATTCTTTTTGAGAAAAGGAAACAACCTCTTGGAGCAAAGGGGAGAACTCAACCCACGTACGGCGATGTTTCTGTCTGGAATTCGAACGTGGGTAACAAGGGTGTGAATATATTAACTTTTTAAAGTTATTTTGCCTTACAAACAGTCTGAACTCGCGTCGATTCTTATGCAAAAACTGTCTTTGTTGCAGTCACCTGTAACATGAGCATAGAACTGACATTCTTGAAACACACTTAGCTAAAAACTCTATCTAATTTGCTGGTAAACCTTCATGATATAGAATGATAACAACAGCTGCAATATTTTGCTAGGGAAAACAAGAAATAAAGCGAAACGACGAAAGGTTTTCGAGTGAATTCCAGACCGATATACTTGGTTGTTATGTTTCATCATGTTGCTATGCACGGGATCTTCTCTTCAAAATTCGTCACATTTGAAGATGCCGATTTGTGATTTTGAGTAATTTGCAGATGCAGTTAATTCTTGCTAGGCGGACATCCCGCTATTTTGGGCTAACCTCGTTTGAATCTTGTTATGAAATAAGCACTCTCGGTATTACTGAATTGCAGACACTTTCTTAGTTCTCGATCGATATCACAATTTTGTAACCATAACACGCGTTGGAATGGATAAAGAGCGGAATCTTGCCATATTCCAATACGAACTAACAATTTATCCATTCCTCTTTTAACAATTAACAGAATAATTATTCGTCGTATCATATTTGTATTCAGGTACAATTGCTCTGTTCCGCATCGAACAAAGTTCTTGTAAATTAAAAAAAAAACATATGTTTAAGCTACATATACTTGCAAAAAAGAAATCTTTGGAGTGGTTGGCTCAAAAGTTTGACTGCTTTCAAACCTTTCTTAACAACTCCTAACAACACGCTACATGTAGCATTCAGAATTTTGGGCAACAATATAGTGTCCGTTTGCACGGGGCTTTACTCCTAACATCGTTGGCCCAACAATGTTGGGAGTTGTTGGCTCAAAGTTTGACCGCTTTCAAACCTTTCTTAACAACTCCCAACAACACGCTACGTGTAACACTCAAAATTTTGGGAGATGTTGGCCAACAATGTAGCGTCCGTTTGCACGGGGCTTTACTCCTAACATCGTTGGCCCAACAATGTTGGGTGTTGTTGCATCCGTTTGCACGTAGCTTAAATGATTTTATTTCAGTCTCATCAGGCTTATTGCAAATTTAATAAAGTTTAAATATATTAGCTCTTGTTGTTGAAGTATAAACGGATTTATTAAGTACTTCCAGTTTTACAAACATGATGTTTAAGCTAAAAATCCAGCTAAGCGTTCGTCAGTTATTTCCCGCTATTATCACTCTGTTGCTACTTGAACTGCAATGGTCGTTGCATTCACGACTTTGGCTTGAGGTCTTCAGCTGCAGAAAAAAGAGTGATACGAGATTAACTACAAAATAACAACACCAATATTCTAATCTTGAAGACATAATCGACGCACAGCTACTACCACTAGTTGCTATAGAATATTCCTGATTAAGAAGAGACTAAACTTCATCTTGAATGATGGCGTCCTCAAGAGCGTGAAACAACAATACCAGCAGCTCATCTGGCTGAAACGAGAACGACAGCTCCCGGTCTTTTGCGAGGACTTTGTCAGGAAACCAGGGAATGGTTTCGTAAAAAGAGACTATAGCCTCAATTCCACCGTGGGCATAGGCTCGATTACTAGCCGCTGTTCGGGAAATGCGCGTCAAGGCGGAAATAGAGCCTGCCCTTCAGGCATGGCAAACGCAAAATCGTTCGCCAAAGGCTGACGTCAGTTACATCACATCCTCGGCAGTGTTCATCGAGGCCCACTTTTCTTTCCATTCCAATACAGGAGGGACTTTTAAAAGCCAGTGGAAGACTGCGATGTGGTCGGCTGCTGCTACTGCTGCTGCTGATAATGATGGCGATGTGTTTTTTTTCGATAACATCCGTTCGCACAATGCAGAGGGAATGAAAACTATGGTCAGTTTCTGCCGGGCAGGCTACGGTCCCGAGTTAAGGATAAAAATGGTAGAAGATTTCTTTACTGACCTAGACTATGCGCGAACGCAGGTAGCATTATTAAAAAAACCTATCCTCTCCTGATTATGCGCGTCCCTTTTTCGTATCATCTGTGCAACCTTTGGAATTCAAAGGCCTGTTTACATGGAGGTGGGAACCTCAGGTAGGCTTGTTAACCCGTGGCGTGTCACCCTACCTATCATGTAAAAGTGCTCAAATTAAAATGAAAGATTATATATACGTTCGAGTTACCCCACCTACCTGAGGTCCCCCACCTCAATGTAAAGAGGCCCTAAGTAATGTATCTCTGGGGAAACTTGATCATTTACTTTACCTTGAACCAATCACGTACGTTTCGCAGCCCTGCTGCACGCAATGTAATGTAATGGTTCAGTATCTAACATGTCGTTCAACATACCTAAGCACTTCCCCCATTGACCGTCGTTATCATAGTCGTAAGTCGTAGCACACCATTTCCTTCCAAATGAGTAAGATGTACAGGTAAACATTCTCTCGCCTTTGTAAAGGAAGGGAAATACGCAGCATTTGTTGTCTGTTGTCCTCACTGTGCAGTCTGAAAACATGACACAAAAATATAAATGTGTGGTGATTAAGTATACCATATTTATTACTACCGTTAAAACTGAAGACTCACGCGAGGCTAGAGATAGAAAAGCACCACTTCGCGAACGCTGTTTGAATTTAACCTTGACGGTTTTTTCCCTAAATTAGGATAAGGATGGGGCGAGAGAAACATCAAAGGAACTATACGCTTACCCGGACGTTGATTCAACTGCTACAATATATGTCGTCTGCGGCCAAGGTAAGTTAGTACTACTAATTTGAAGGCAATATTCACAAACCCATGTCATTGGTATTCTGCGGACATTGTTCTTTTCACTGTCGTTTTTCTAACTTCATTTTGGGGTAAGTTGAATATAGAGCTTATAAGCCAATCATATAAGATTGCTTGCGAATTAAAGAACTCTACTGATTGCGGTGACTTATAGGTCGACTTACTGGCGGGTTTTCCGTAAACCTCAACACGCATGCACGGCCAGCTTTTCCATTCTTTGGGTAGAAAACGAATAAACATGGCTAGAGCAGGTCGTTCCAGGTTTCGTTTCACCATATCCTTGGCATTCGTATTTCCAAAAAATACCTGTTAAAATATACAAGAGGTGTCAATTATGCTGTATTCAGAAATGAAATGGGCCTTATGACAGAAAAATGGTTTTGTGTGCAAATAAATTGACAAGTCTTCAGCGTATGTATAAAATAGCGCATTAAAAACCAATCAGTAAAACGCACAGAATTATTTTCTTTTTATTTAACTAATTTCATTGATGTTCCGTAACCCCTCTCTAATGTGAAGCATGTGGAACAGTAATGAATTAAGAGGAACGTTTTTATGTTCTACTTAACAATTGAAATCGACATTTTCCATGGTCTTTACTCTTATCGACCATAGAAATGGCGTCAATATGTTCAGAATTCAAGTGCAACCACGAGCCGCAGACGAACCGTAGACGAACCGTTTAGAACATTTTGATGTGATGGTCGATAATACAAAGTTTTGCAAAAAAAAAAAAAACTATGTGGTTTTTCACGTTCATTTCTGTGGTCGCACCCGCTCCAAAAAAAAATCCTGGATCCGCCCCTAAGACCATAGAGAATTGTTGTCGATTTGTTTTTTACAATATCATTGACAGTTTTTTACGTCCATTTACTTTTAAGTTTTCGGAAAATCGCTGAGTTATTGTAAAGATTGGATTGCATGTACTCCCGTCCCATACGAAGATGCCGTTTGAACTAGAAAAAACCTCAGTCTAAGTCTCTGGACATCTCATGCATCTTAATAGGAACACGTGCATACTTTATATTTATTTGCATCGCGATTTACCTTGTTGGTTCCATTTTCTTTGTATGTAACCCAGTTCTTTTTGTCCAGTGAAGTCTGAACCTCATATTTCGTCACGTAATCTGTATCATGGACGGACGATCCTTGGGTAGCTACTGCGCAGACTCCGTGACGTTGAGGTAGTTCGATCTATTTAAAGGTAACAAAGGAAATTTAGGAAGAGCAAAATTTCTAAGTGTCTTAGAAAAACAAAAACCAAAACAATTGAATGAAATCACAAAAATCTACAAGCTAACAAGCTACATTTTTTGGGAAACTCGTCCACTCGCATGGTTATTCACGCCCAAGTTGATTCCCCACGCCCTCTAGTCAGATATTAGCTTTCTATCAATTACAACTGGAAACGAAACAACCTTTTCCAATCCCGTTTATTCTTCCAGCATACAAGATGAAACTAGTCGAAAATAAAACTCAAATAACGATAGTATAAAGCCTAAAGTCTTTGTCCTAATAAAGTTCAATGGTTATGAAGCGCTTTGTTTTTGTTTGCTCTTTTGGACTTGACCGTGGACAAAGCGTTCAATAGCATTGCCATCATTTAAAACTTTCTAACCAATAGAAACATTGAATTAATTTACTTAGCCACAGTTGTGCAAAACTACATTAAAAGAAGTGTGCGAGCGAGGTCTAGGAGCTTTCAACATCACTGCAGCAACGTTGTTTTCATCTATGCTTGGCCCCATTTATGGCAATCTTAGTTCCGGAATCCGGCCGGAAATTTTTTCTTGTGTAATCAGGAATCCTGGGATTTGGAATCCGAGTTCAGCTCATGGAATCGGGAATCCCACTAACGATTGGAACCCACGACCCAAGTTCTACTGACAAGGACTCCGGACTAAAATCCGGAATCCAAAACGTGAAATCCAGAATCCCAGACTGTCTTGGATTAACTTACATAGGGCGATATGCTATCATACCCAGTCTCATCTACTAAGTATGGCCCCAACCTGAAGATATGGTTGTTTGTCTTCCTCGTTTGATTTTGGACACCACGATCCCTTGCGGTTATTCAGTCGTCCTTGAGATGGAAGGAAATCTACGTATGGCGAGTACCAGGATGAGCCGTAAATCCCTCCTCCGGATATTTTATAGTTTTCCATACCTATCGCATTTCCTCGGCAAGCCAAGTCTAAAAGAGAATTGACTCAGGGTTATATGGTGAAGTGATAGGCGTGTAAAGGAGGACAATCAATAATCCCTGTTTTTTTTTTTTTTTTTTTTTATAAATGGAGACCTTTAGATTCGAGGACGTTTCTCAAAAAATGACAACAATTCACCGAAAAAGTTAGCACTGTTTTAAGTCCTTTGACTGACATTTTTTCTTTGTAGCATGACGACCCATTCTCAAAACGCTGGTTCACTAATTAGTATCGAGAAAATCTCGTACTCGTAGTCGTTCTCGTCTGAGAATCTAAAGGTTACTATTGTAGAATTTTTAAACTCCTAGCGTACGATCTCAGAACTACGGCCTTGAACTGTAGGTCTGTTCTCTAGATCATATAAATAATCGATCTCGATGGGCATCGCTGGAGTAAGGATTATCGCATTGCCTATTAAATTAAGGCACGCACTAAACGACTCATCAATTTGATTATTTTGGAGGTCAAACTTAAGTTTAAAAGTCGTTCACTTGTGAAACAAACCTCGAAAGTGAATCCATTTTATTCCTGAACAGCTGAAATGCCATTAGGGCTGAAAAGAGCAATGCACAGCTCTTTGACCAAACCATGGGCTTAGATCTTAAGTTAACCTGACGCTATTTCCCTATATTCCCCGGCAAAAACAATAAAGAATCGAAAGAAATATTACCATTACAATCCTTCTTGAATTTCTTGCATTGGTAGGTATTCCAGTATTCATACTATAATGACAGAAAAATTCTAATGAGTTTTACAAAACAATTATCAACTTATTACATGACTGAATCCTTGAGCCGACCTCGTTCCCAGGGTTCTCTGTCTTCTCGAGAAAGAACCCTGGTTGCGGCTGGTCACGTGCCTCCAAAATCTGGGAGCGAACAAGATTTGCCCTCATGGGAAGGCCAGGCCAATTTGTCGAAACATGAAGATGAAAGAATAAAAAATTGCATGTATTTCCTCAGTTCACATCATCTTCAAGTAACACCTTTGTTGGCCAAGCTTGCTCGGTCAGGCAATATGGCTGGATATTGGCCTTTGTCCTTAATTACCGTTTTTTGATCTCGAATTCGTCACGGTCCATTGAAACGCAAAATACAACTTTGCTCATCCAGCCATCTGATTTCACGCTCGAGTCCATAACGTATATCAAAATCTATCACTTTGAGCCGTTACCTATCTCGTATGTATAGCTGGTTCAATAAAGGCTGCTTTGGGCATTGGGAATTGGGCAATAGGAAGCTATTGTTTGGTGGTCACTCAGGCAAATTAAGGTATGGTTCGGTATGCCCAAATGTACAAATACCCAATGCCTAATTGCCAACATTTATAGAATCAGCTTTATAAGGTATCTCACACATACGTCAGTACTTATGTACATGTATACCGAAACTGTTTATTCATATAAAACTGCCACACTGATTCATTGGCACTACAATTTTCTTTTACCCTCTTTAATCGTCGCACAAAGAGCCTTAGTTTACTGTCTGTTTCCTCTTTAGAAAGATGGAAATTAACAGAAAATAAAAGTGTCCGACGATGTATACCTACCGTCTGTTCAGAAGAACCATAATGGTCCACAACCTCACCAAATGTGCAGTCCTCTTCGTAACATTCGTGATTGATACTGCTCTTTAAAGCGCTAAAGAAGTTAAATGCATCTTTCTTATCCAAAACTATCTTCTCACGTGACTCTCCAAGCAATCCACCTAATAAAAAGGAGAATATTTACGATACCAAGAATCTGAAGCCTGCGAGCACCACTCCGCCACCAGAGCTTCCCGGAGAGCTTGCTCGCAAGCTAAGAAACTGAAGCAAAACAATGATCATTCTCAATCAGGTTTATTTCTCATTGACGCTATTCGGTTGAGCGTGAAAACCAATCATTCGTACTTGTTATTAAAAATCTGCTCAAGGACGTCCGGAAGCCGTTTTCATAAAAGGTCCTTTCTCGTAAGCTTAAAGTCCATTAAATACTTCTTGATAAAGCAAGCGGGAAAAGCAAGAAGAGCGGACTTGGAGATGGAAATAAGTTGCGAGCGGAGTTTTGGCTCACCCTGAACAAACTTTTCGCTCGAAACTAGGCCTTTTTTATGGTTTACTAGGCGCCTTTTTTAATAGTGTGGAACATTAACAAAATAATTTTACCTACCATGACATGAACATGTTAGGGCCAGAAAGACCGTAAATGACAATAGCATCACTATGCACATGTTAATTTTGGCCTGCAAGTTAACAATATAATTATTAAAATTACTATTTATTTGGGCGCCAAAAATTTTACAGAGACCTTAGGGAGAAAACTCAGTAAGATAACCTAATGATGCGTCCAGTATATATCGTTTAAAACGAGATGTTCTGTGCTATGATTTGTGCAGATAATAATATAATTTCCATCAATTCGTTTTTAAGTTTTTGCCCAATGTAGTTTTTTTCAGACTACGCATTTAATTTAGACTTTGGCGCAAAAAAACCCTTTTTCTTAGTTAGCCGGATTGTTTTTTTTAAACTATTGTTTGACCATGAATAGTGAATAAAAGCCAGTTCCACAAGAAAGAACATTATTTGTCCCCTCAATAAACTTGTCATTGTTATGTTTGCTTCTTCAACAATGGAGTCTCGTGAAAACAACATTTGCTATTATTTTAATGTTAATTCAGCCAACGGCTTCCTATGCGAAAACGCGCAAAGTATAAATTGCGCTCGATTATTTAGTTTATTCTATTGAGGTAAAAATTAAGTGAACGTGAGAACATTTCTACTTCAAAGGAAGCATCTCTAGCAATTAAGTTTTGATTTGTTTTTTACATGCTTTGAATTTATATTTCTTTCGTGGAATAAATATAGTCTGTTTATTTTTATTGTAGTAGAGAATAGCTACTAAAAAGATAACTTACAGTAGCATTTCTTTTACTGAGAGTCCAGGAGCTACAACCCTGGTAAAACGCAAAGCATGCTTTGAATACTTGGGGGCTGTATCTACCGTAGGTCGAAACTGATAATATTGTTAGAATTTCTTACCTGCTGAATATAGATCTTTATCAATTCAACTCTCTCCAAGACTACCGGTCACACGATCGAGAAGTAATATAATTTGCACTGTTCTGATATTGTTCAATTAGAGACCGCTGTTTACTCAGCCTGACATAAGAAACGACACGGTCTTTAACGACACTAATTGTAATAATGCGTGTATCGGTTGAATGATTATGAACCGAATACTGGGGGGCTCATCGGTAATATCTGGTCAGTTGTTATCCATCCTCAAAATACCATGGGATCGATTAATGTTTTGACTTTTGTAAAGCTTTATTTACCCATTTGCTCATTAGGAGAGTTTGCCGGAAGACCCCGCCTGAAGCTAAAATTAATAGAGACTCCAGTATAGAGCAGTCCTGAACAGCAACAGACCAAACAGAAGGAAAAGTACCCACACGAAGTCATATTCCACTGTTTTTGTTCCTGATGGCAGACTTCAGCTTTTTAAGCACATCTCAGCAAGCGCTTAAGGCACACTGTGACACTGAGGATTCTCAACAGGGGTTCATCAATCGGGTCATCCAGTTCCAAATTTTCCCCAATCCCGTTAACCCGATAGTTATCAGAGAGTTAAGCATCACGTTTACTTCAAATTTGTATCACGTGACCAGGTTCCCCTAGTCCCTAGTCTGCTACACAGCCATGTTTAGTGTCGTCTTGCAACTTAACGCTCATCCTTGCGCGCGTAACGACACTGAAAACAGGCGGCTGTGTAGCAGACTTAAGTTTCCGAAATACTTGTCGTTTACTTTTCAATATTTCTAAACATAAATTAGTAGTTTCACAGAATTTTTTATCCATAAGAATTGTGTTGAGCTGTTTTCATCTGCTCATTTTCTATTTTGAAAAATTCTCAACTTGAATCTGCAGCCGCTTTGCCGTTTTCCGTATACGTGAAGCTGAAACTCTCACTCGGGATCCAGCCATAAATTGTATTTTTAGTGATTTCTACAAGCAAAACTGGAAAACATTGGCCCTGTGTTTTCATAGTTTATTATATCCATCCTTGCCATCTGTAGCCGTAACAGACCACAGGAAAAAGTTTCAATGCCTAAATAGATTTGGGCCATTGTTTCGGGAATACAATTGATGCGACGACACGTTTGTATTTTAAAAGAAGGGATAGAAATAGCATGACATAGTCCTGGATGCTGCTTTGCCCAATGCATGTGCCAACCAATAACTTTAGCCTGTCCGGTTTCCCAAAAACTCTTAGTCATCAACTCTGGACAATGTAATGCATGTTTATTTCAATTCCGGTAGGAAAATTAAAAAACCCTTCATGTTGAGATCACTAATCACTCTTGATTTCATGTTTCTTTGTTCAAACCAGTGGCGTCGCTTTCTACCCTTTTTATGACTGAAGAAGAGCTAGCCCCTGTACTTCGACCTTTTTATGGTGGCCGATTCACAAGATGTCTGGCGGCAGCTATCGATGCGAGAAGTGGAAATTAATGCAGGGGCGGATCCAGGATTTTTTTTCAGGAGGGGGTGCACTCGTCTCTTGCTCCACTTTAAAACCAATAAACCACATAGTTTTTTTTTTGCAGAATACCAGTTGTATTAGAAAACCGCAGGTCACATTGCACAACCCCTAGATCCGCCCCTGTAATGCGACATTGAAACGTAGCCGACGGAAAAATGAGAAATGTTCATTTCAGGGCCAGGGTGTTACCGCGCACAAGTTTTTTTAAATTCACACACGGTGACTTTCTATTCATATGCTTGAACTTAAACGTTGCTATAGTACAGCGCGACCAATGACTGAAAAAAAGAAATTGGAAACCTCCGGTCAAGTCAAGTATAAACTTTAAACCGGAGGTAAGAAGGTGTTGAAATTGAATTGCTTGTTTATATAAATGCAAAACCATAAATTAAATATATATTATATATTTTTTCCCAAATAAGCGACTGCTCCTTTACAACTCTGGCGGACAGCTGATTACTCTTGGGCGATGATTTTCGTGCTAAAGGCGATGTTATAGAAGACGATTTGTTCCGACGATTTTAGTTGATTTTTAGCTCGAAAATGTTGGAACGACGTCGCAACAAAGTTGCAGCGCGGTGTTGATCGATAAATCGTCGTTAGGATCAATCGTCAGGATCAATCGTCAGGATCAATCGTCCTTTATAGCTTTTCAAAACGTTCCAAGAGTTATCAGAAGTTGGTCATTAACTACAAAAGTCATGAGAAAAGACTTCCATTTTGCTATTAACTTTTTAATTGTACACACAAGTATAAAATAAGTTAAAAATGCACATCAGTACCTCGAAATGCTAACTATAACTACATCCTAGCGGTAGAAAAGTTCAGAACCAGTTATTATAAAGATGACTAAATCAATGGATTGTTGATATTTTTATCAATTTACGTTAGAAAAGTTCAGAACCAGTTATTATAAAGATGACTAAATCAATGGATTGTTGATATTTTAATCAATTTACAACTCCCCTCAATTTCATCTAACACCTATTTTGCAGCAGACTTAAGGACACATTGCGGATATTACGAGTTCAAATTTCGAACATAGATATTCATGTCTTCCTTCGTACGCGAGTCTAAAATCTGAACTGAATCTAGCAATTTCTTTTTAAAATAGGAATATCTTCCTCAGCTGGTGAGTAACACTTCTTTTTCGGATCAAAAAGTATTGAAAGTTTCACTATATAAGGAAATAGGTTGTGTCCAGTCAAGTGTGCTTACCGAAATGGTTGCATGTTACTTTGAAAACAAACTTAAAAGTTATTTTCCATCGCCAAAACCATAATTTTGTGACTCGAAAACTAACTTCTGAACATTTAAAGCCGTCAGTTTTTAGACACGTTAGGAAATTGAAGACTCTGGCGTCAATCGTTACATCAAATCACTAAGATGGAATCTTCTTTTACGCCAACTTTTAGGGCGATGAAATTTCCTTGGACTGTCTAGTGCCTGAAGTTGATCTACGGTGCAAAAGATTAATGAGAAAAAATGAATGGACAGGGAATTTTTAGAATACAATGCATAGGACCAGGAACTTCCCCAATCAGATCTCAAGTCAGGAAAAGGTGTTTTACAAATCTTGGACTCCACGCCTTGGCACAATGATAATTTATGTCAGGATAACTAAGAGCCCAGGGAGCAATTTGTGTTTCCAAACCCTTTAGCAATGAGCAACGTACACAAGCCTAAATGCACTGGAAAACGAAAAACAAAAGAACATGTGCCCTCAGCTGGGGGTGTCTGAACCATTAATCTTCCTCATTTACAAATCACTACGGTGTCACATCACAACACATTTTTAAACGCACCTTTCGAGTTGGGTTCAGCCGAGCCCTGTGAAATCAGTGCTTCGATTTTATCAAGAGCTCCCGAGTCCAGTTCATTAGGGGACGTTACTCGAATCACATGATCGGACGATCCAAGAGCAATTTTAGTCAGTTCAGATTCACTGACGTCCGGGCTAATTCCAACAGCAATAACATTCAGGGAGGCCTCCTGTATGAAGAAACAACATTAACACTTGACTAGACGATATTTCGTATTCTTAGGGACAGGTATTTAAGCGGAAGTTTAGCCCGTGTTTAACAAAACCGCGTTCTAAGCCATTTTCACTTTGCCTATCGCTTTTATCATAGCAGCACCATTAATCGTGAAAAGTTACTTGAAGGTATAAGGGGTACACTAGAAAAGCGTTTACCTTCTTACAGTGCGACCACTGTAACCTGGGCCACCAAGACAAAAGTTGACCAATCATATTACAGAAAAACAAAAGTAAAAAAAATACATTCCAAGAAGGTTAGTGGTCAATCATGATCGAAATAAACAACATGGATCCAAATCAACCGATTACAACCTGCAGACGCGGACCTTTTAAACCCGTTGAAGAAAGCCCGCTTTTCCTGAGAGGTCCGTTAGAGTGAATAACTGAGGCAAAAAAGTCAGCGTCTATTTTTAGTTATATCTTTCACCAGAGTCCGTGATGTTATTGCAAGCGCGGCAATTGTGGTAATTTAAAGAAATTGCTGGTAGATCTTCTGGGTGTTATATGTAAAGTTTTGAATAGAATGGTGAAACATTTTGCTTTCTTGAAAAACGTTTGCTATCAATATTTAAATTTTGTGCTTGGAGTAACCCACTGTTTTTTTTTACGAGCTGCTGATTGGCCAACAGGCAACTTTCTCGGAATGTACATTGCTTTTTTCCGGAATCCGATTGGTCAGCTTTGTACTAGTGGCCCCGGTTACAGTGGTCCTGCTGTAAAATAAGCCACTGAGGACAAGATCTGGAGGTTCAAAGTTTGTTAAACCGCGGCCTGCTTTTAAGTTAGGCCTCGTTTAAATAACCTCCTTAGATTCTTCGGAACAAAGCTACGAAAAGTACTCTGGAACCTAGCATCTACGACTTGCGTAGAGCACGTAACTCGAATCTTCCATCTTCTGCTTCTGAAATCCCAAATTTTACGTCTGTTTACTTTTCAAATGACTTTTTCTGGAATTCATGAAAGAGTAAATCCAAAGTCCTCCTATGATTTCAAAACATTTTCTTGAATTAAAGTTAATAGAATAATGAGTAATATTTTTCTCAATTTTTTTTTCCTCGCGGCGCAAAAACAAATCCAACACGGATAATGAAATTCACCACTTTAAAGGGGCTTAGTCATGATGATATTGCTGTTTTAACTGCGCAGGATTAGCTCAGTCGCTAGAGCGCCTAACTGCGGAAAGGGAGGTCGCGGGTTCTATTCCTGGGGCCGGACTAATACTCAGGGTCTTAAAATAACTATTATTTTCAATTGATGCGAAAAAATTTTAGCTCTATAAAAAGATAGCAAATTGTGTGACATAGCTCCTTTAAAACCGTAACAAACTAAACAGATCAAGCAAAATAGCTTTATTAAAGTCACATGCAAAGCAGGGTACGGAAAATGAAAGAAAAAGAATTTTTGGGCCTAGTCTTTGGATGTTGAAATTTGGTGCCTACCTTCATTTTTTGTGATATAAAGCTATAAGGCATAGATCCAGCGTCATTGTTCTTGGATGTAAAAACGATCAGTACATTTTCCCCCTCTGAGCGGAGTCCGCATCCCTCTCGGCAGAATAACTCTTGAGTGGCTTTCAGCATGGCCAGGTCAGTGCGATGACCCTGAGCACGGACATATTCAATACCCTGAACAATCCCAGACACGTCAACATCAGTAAACAACTTGAGTGTCATTAGAAGCTGGGATGCTTCACCGTACTCGATAAAACCAAACTGAACACTTAACCCAAAGGTATCGGTAATTCTAACGACCAAACGGGATACAAATGACTTTAGCATTTGAAATTGTTCGGGAGTCACACCGGAGGAACTATCCAACAAAATCCCTATATCGATCCCTTTACTGGCGGTTGTTGGTACTGGAGAGATCTCAGTTGTAGTCGGTGGAATGGCTAAACAAAGAAAAATGACAATAAAAAAACATAATCAGTTACTGTTTGTCATTATTAAAACTTTTATTATGGTTATTGGATTTCCTTTTCTTATTCATTGTACAAAAAATGTAAGTAAAACTGAATCTAATTAAAGGGCATGTAATTAGTTTTACTATAATTTATCTTGCCCTTCTCCGTTTATTCTTGTAACTTGATTATTTAAATCTAGCTTGTAAATGATATCTTTAAATCTGTGCTATAATATAACTGGGCCTGGAATATAAAATAAATGGAGAAAAATTTAATAAATTATTAAAAAATAGAAACACAGATTTCTTTCATTTTTGATTAGCTGAAAGGACCTAAAACAACGCTGTTGTGATCAAATACGGTAAATGAAAGCTTCACAGAGTGGAGGCTAGCTGATATTTATTTTTCTGACGATACAACCGAGGAAATAATTTCGTACACTTAGTATGAGGATACGTACGTAATTATTTAATTACAATTGAGAAGGGATTGGCACAATTGGTTAGTACTCGGCCTTTTGTGCAAGAGCTCCGTCTCAGTTCGATTCCCAGCTGTGGCCTTAAATCCTTCTGCCTGTCGTATGACTTTAAGTTCCGCAATCTCGTTTAACGTGAGGGCGAGACGGTTGTTGAATAAATAGACAGATAATGCAAAAAAAAAAAACCGCATCGTTTAACAAGAACGTGGATTGGAGGAAGCGCACGGAAAGTCTTGAATCCGACTTCCTGCTCCAAATTTGTCATTTTTTAATATAATAATATAATATACAATATTTATAGAGCGCTAATTCCCAATAGTCCAAAAGCGCTTAACATAATAACAATAACAACAAAATCCTAAACCTACAAAACTACATTGTCATCCTACGAAAACATCATCATTCTATACGACAACATCATAACAAGTTTTAAAAAGCCAAGTCTTAAGCTTAGATTTAAAAGAAGAAAGGGAATTACAAGATCTAAGTTCGAATGGAAGTGCATTCCAAACAGAAGGTGCAGCAGTAGTAAAAGACCGGCCACCACAAGTTTTAAGATTAAATTTAGATGTAGAAAGTAAAAATTGATTAGAGGATCTAAGAAGTCTACCAGGTGGTGTATAAGGCTTGATGAGATCAGTGATATAGCTAGGTGCAGCACCATGAAGTGCCTTACATGTAATTACTGCAATTTTGTTTGTTCAATTGGTAGCCAATGAAGTTGAATAGGCAAGCGGCGTAACATGTTCATATCTACTAGTAAGGTGAATAAGCCTAGCAGCACTATTTATTTTTTCATTTGTCATCTCCAATTTCAGATCTGCGCGCGCAGTAGTCTCTGTTCTCAAGCTGTTTTTGAGAATGTTTCCCGATAACTAGTTATTATAAATTGGTGTTAAACTGCTGGGAGTCTTCATTAGCCCAGAAGAATGGTCCACATTGCTGATGTTTAGTTAGCCGAAAGGAATAATAGAAAATGAGCAGACAAAAACTGTCCTAAAAAACTAGTACTCTTATTGACAAAACTGGGATTTTTAATTATACATAAATTCCTTTTGTACCTTATAAAATGCACCTTTCTACTTTTTTGCAAACAAAAACAACAAAAAGGTAAGAAAGAAATGAAGAAGAAATGAATCTGAGCTAAAAATAAAAAAAATCTGCTCAATACATATATAACAGCACACACTAGAGGTTTTCACCGATAATTTATTAATAAAATCACAGAGTGCTGTCTTGTATTCTTTCAGACAAAAAATCACGATTTCCCAATTTGGTACAACTGTTTCTCAAAGCATCGCTGTAAGGTGCAATCTACCAAATAAAAACAAAACCTCCTAAACTTCCATTATTTCACAACGTCTCTGTAAAATTTTGTCTAAATCGCCTCTAAAACAGCCGAGATACAAGCGTTTTAAAGCACAAACAAAATTTTGCCTTATGAATTTATTCGTAGATGGGTGTCCCCGCGACCTTAAACTGCATGACTGCTCACTGGTAGGGGGAAAATGATATTTATGATCCTTTACTAAGTAGTTAGTCGAAAATAATCATAAATAGATAAAAACTGTTTCTCTGGGGGCCCAAAAACGAGAAAAAAAAAGAGATTTCATCATTCAAAAAGCTAATAACCTTTCTTTTCAAGGCCCTACTGCATTGTGTGCCCTCCAGCAAAGTGTTTTCGTACCATGTAACCTTTTCGGATGCAAAGGCTCATTTAAATCACAATGTACAAATGTATAGTCGAAGAAAAAACTGTTTTGAAAAGTCAATTCTTATTTTTCACTAACATAGAGACAGCTTAAGGTTAATAAAAGACGGAAATTACTTTGAATAATTATCACTATTTTACTATGATTTGTTTCTGTAGCAACGTTGTTTATTGTGTGAAACGAGTTTCAGTGAAAATAACGTTGAGGAAAAAAAGTCCTACAAACTAAGTTTGGTAAATCAAGTTATGTAGATGGAGTTGTTTAAATATCACAAAAATAGCAAACAAACATATAAATTAAACTTAAGACGTACAAACCTTCTGTGGTCGACTCTTCTGCTACTAACGAATTTAAAAGAAATAATGGTTGTCAGAATAATATAAAGATTTCAAACTCATAGTGATGAAAAAGTTTCGAAAATCAATTGATTTTGTAATAAAAATTTTCTTCAATTATTTTCGAAAATCAGTCTACAAACGAAATAAACTAATAAAAATCTTCTGCTGTCGATTCTTCTGATGCTAGACAAAATTGAAAGAGAGAAGTTTGTCAGAATAATATAAAGATTTCAAAATCATAATGATGAAAAGGTTTCGAAAATCAATTGATTTTGTCATTAAAATTCTCTAAAAAAATTTTAGAAATATCAATCTACAAACTAAACAAACTAAGGACAAACCTTCTGTGGTCGATTCTTCTGATGCCAAACAAAATTAAAAGAAAGAAGTTTTCAGGAAAATATAAAGATTTCAAAATCATAATGATGAAAAGGTTTTGAAAATCAATTGTTTTTGTCATCAAAACTCTCTTAAAAATTTAAAAAAATCATTATAAACTAAACAAACTAATGACAAACCTTCTGTGGTCGATTCTTCTGAAGCTAAACAAAATTAAAAGAAAGACGTTTTCAGGATAATATCAAGATTTCAAAATGATAATGATGAAAAGGTTTCGAAAATCAATTGTTTTTGTCATCAAAACTCTCTTAAATTATTTTCAAAAATCAATGAACAAACTAAATAAACTAATAACAAACCTTCTGTTGTCGATTCCTCTGATGATAAACAAAATTAAAAGGGAAGAAGTCAGAATAAAGATTACAAAATCATAGTGATGAAAAGATTTCGAAAATCAATTGTTTTTGTCATAAAAATTCTCTTAAAAATTTCCAAATTTAATCTACTAACTAAACAATATTAAAAGAAAAAAAGTTGTCAGAATAATATAAAGATTTCAAAATCATAAGGGCGGAAAGGTTTCGCAAATCAGTTGTTTTTTTCATCAAAATTCTCTTAAACATTTACAAACATCAATCTACGAACTAAATAAACTAATGACAAACCTTCTGTTGTCGATTCTTCTGATACTAAACAAAAGTAAAAGAAAGAAGTTGTCAGGATAATTAAAGATTTCAAAATCCTAATGATGAAAAGATTTCGTAAATCAATGGTTTTTGTCATCAAAATTGTCTTAAAAATTTACAAAAATCATTATAAACTAAACAAACTAAGGAGAAACCTTCGGTGGTCGATTCTTCTGATACTAAACGAAATTAGAAGAAAGAAGCTGTCAGAGTAATGTAAAGATTTTAAAATCATAATGATGAAAAGATTAAAAAATCAATTGTTTTTGTCATCAAAACTCTCTTAAAAATTTACAAAAATCAATCTACAAACCCAAAAAAATAAGGACAAACCGTCTAAGGTTGATTTTTCTGATGCTAAACAAAATTAAAAGAAAGAAATCATAATGTTGAAAAGGTTTCGAAAATCAATTGTTTTGTCATCAAAATTCTTTTAAATTATTTTCAAAAACCAATCTACAAACTAAATAAACTAATAACAAACCTTCTGTTGTCGACTCTTCTGGTGCTAAACAAAATTAAAAGGGAAAAGTTATCACAATAACATGAAGATTTCAAAATTATAGTGACGAAAAGATTTCGAAAGTCAATTGTTTTGGTCATCAAAATTCTCTTAAAAATTTCCAAATTCAATCTACAAACCAAACAAACTATAAGGACAAACCTTCTATGGTCGATTCTTTTGATGTTAAACAGTATTGAAAGAAAAAAAGTTGAGAATTCCTCTTAAATTATTTTCAAAAATCAGTCTACAAGCTACATAAACTAATAAAAATCTTCTGCTGTCGATTTTTCTGATGCTAAACAAAATTAAAAGAGAGACCTTGTCAGGATAATAGAAAGATTTCAAAATCATAATGATGAAAAGATTTCGAAAATCAATTGATTTTATCATCAAAAGTCTCTTAAAAATTTTAGAAATATCAATCTACAAACTAAACAAACTAATGACAAACCTTCTGTGGTAGATTCTTGTGATGCTAAACAAAGTTAAAAGAAAGAAGTTTTCAGGATAATATAAAGATTTCAAAATGATAATGATGAAACGATTTAGAAAATCAATTGTTTTTGGATCACAATTCTCTTAAAAATTTTAGAAAAATCAATCTACAAACTAAACAAACTAGGGACAAACCTTCTGTGGTCGATTCTTCTGACCCTTCTGATGCTTAGCAAAATTAAAAGAAGTTGTTAGAATAATATCAAAGATTTCAAAATCATAATGATGAAAAGGTTTCGAAAATCAATTGTTTTTGTCATTAAAATTCTCTTAAAAATTTACAAATATCATTATAGACTAAACAAACTAAGGACAAACCTTCGGTGGTCGATTCTTCTGATGCTAAACAAAATTAAAGGAAAAAAGATGTCAGAGTAATATAAAGATTTTAAAATCATAATGGTAAAAAGGTTTCGAAAATCAATTGTTTTTGTCATCAAAATTCTCTTAAAAATTTACAAATATCATTAAAGATTAAACAAACTAAGGACAAACCTTCTGGGGTTGATTTTTCTGATGCTAAACAAAATTTAAAGAAAGAAGTTGTCAGAATAATATAAAGATTTATAAATAAATTAAGATAAGTTAAGATAAATTTATTCAAAAACCAATCTACAAACTAAATTAACCAATAACAAACCTTCTGTTGTCGACTCTTCTGGTGCTAAACAAAATTAAAAGGGAAAAGTTATCACAATAACATGAAGATTTCAAAATTATAGTGACGAAAAGATTTCGAAAGTCAATTGTTTTGGTCATCAAAATTCTCTTAAAAATTTCCAAATTCAATCTACAAACCAAACAAACTATAAGGACAAACCTTCTGTGGTCAATTTTTCTGATATTAAGCAATATTAAACGAATAAAAAGTTGAGAATTCTCGTAAGTTATTTTCAAAAATCAATCTACAAGCTAAATAAACTAATAACAAACCTTCTGTTGTCGATTCTTCTGATACTAAACAATATTACAAGAAAGAAGTTGTTAGAATAAAGTAAGATTTCAAAATCATAACGATGAAAAGGTTTCGAAAATCAATTGATTTTGTCAGCAAAATTCTCTTAAAAATTTTAGAAATATCAATCTACAAACTAAACAAACTAAGGACAAACCCTCTGTGGTCGGTTCCTCTGATGCTAAACAAAATTAAAAGAAAGAAAGAAGTTTTCAGGATAATAATTATAAAGATTTCGAAATCATAATGATGAAAAGGTTTTGAAAATCAATTGTTTTTGTCATCAAAGTTCTCTTAAAAAATTACAAAAATCAATCTTCAAACTAAACAAACTAAGGAGAAGCCTGTGGTCGATTCTTCTGATGCTAAACAATATTAAAAAAACTTAGTTGTTAGAATAATTTAAAGATTACAAAATATAATGATGAAAGGTTTCGAAAACCAATTGTTTTTGTGATCAAAGTTCTCTTAAATTCTTTTCAAAAATCAATCTGCAAACTAAATACTCTGATAACAAACCTTCTGTTGTCGACTCTTCTGATGCTAAACAAAATTAAAAGAAAGAGGTTATCAGAATAACATAAAGATTTTAAAATCATAATGATGAAATATTTCGAAAGTCGAGTGTCTTTCCTCTTCAAAATTCTTTTAAAAATTCCAAATTCAACCTACAAACTAAACAAACTAGGACAAACCCTCTGTGGTCAATTTTTCTGATGCTAAACAATATTAAACGAAAAAAAGTTTTCAGAATAATGTAAAGATTTCAAAATCAATTTTTTTTGTCATCAGAAACAATCAACAAACTAAATAAACTAATGACAAACCTTTTGTGGTCGATTTTTTTGATGCTAAACAAAATCATAACGATGAAAACGTTTCGAAAATCATTTGTTTTTGATACCAAAATTCTCTTAAATATTTTCAAAAATCAGTCTAAAAAGTAAACAAATTAATGACAAACCTTTTGTGGTCGATTCTTTTGACGCTAAACAATATCAAAACGAAAAAAAAAGTTGTCTGAATAATATAAAGATGTCAAAAATAATGATGATGAAAGGGTTTTGATTTTTGTTTTTGTCATTATAATTCTCTTAAATTATGTTTATAAAAATCAAAAAGAAAAATTCGAAAAAAAGTTACACGAACTAAACAAAGAAGCAAAAATGAAGTGAAAAATAATTTGCAAAGAAAGAAATTTACTACTTGCAGTTGACTCTTAAAAGCACAAAGTTATCTAGTTTGAGATGCTCAGAATATCTGGTTAACACATTTTAAATAATATTAAAATAATCTTTAGCCATATCAGTGATGTCATTATGACGTCATGCATTTATTAGAGAGGGAATTGAAACCATCCGCCATCTACGATCTGCCATTTTGAAATAATTAAATGTCTTCTATTTTACTTATACCTTTGTATAAAAGGATGCTTAAGGAGCAAAACAGTTGCAAGTTATGAAGCTCCTAGAGAAATTTACACTGTCGAAAATTGAACACAGCATCTACCAACTGGTCATTTTAAACTGATATTTTTTCTTAAACTCGTCATTAATAACGTTTTAAGAAAATAAAATATTGGCAGACGAAATACATGTATAACTATGGACAAACCTTCTGTGGCCGATTCTTCTAACGCTTAACAAGATAAAAAGGGAAAAAAGGTCGTCAAAATTAACAATGAGAAGGATTCGATAGTCTAAAGATTTTGCTATCAAAATTCTGTCAAGTTGTTTACAAAACCAATCTGCCGAATAAATGTATTTTTCTGAACTAAACAAAAAAGAGGTCAAAAAACACTTAAAATAACCATCCAGGAAGTAAACAGTAGAGCAATATAATTTGGCAAAAATGCGTTATTTAGCACTTGAAGTTGATTCTTTAACGTTATCGGCAGAAACTAATAATCCACCCTAGTTAGAAACCCTAAACTGAAGTAAATAAAGAAAATAACTAGACTATGCTTATTGGATTTTGTGCATTTTGATTGACTCACAAAAATGCTGCTATGAAAATGAACAAAAAATGGTCTGTAGTTCTCAAAAATAGGTTGCTCGGCTGAGACCACACAGTTTCTTCTTTTGTTTTGAAAAAATTAAGAAGAAGCTTACTATCGTGAAATAGAGTTTTGATACGCCTTAGAAACTCTTTGTTCTCATTCAAATGATACTACTCATTATAGAAACAAAGCAAGCAAGTTTTTTACGATTTAAAAGGGTCAGTGATAGGTTCTGCTGGTGCTTGAAAAGGAATGTGTTCACGGTAAATTAAATTCAAAGTCTATGTAACTCGTGATGCTTTAAAACGATGGTTTGCTAAATTCTGAGAGAATAAAAATGTCAGTTACTTACCAGCTGTTGTGGATTCTTCTAATTCTAGTGGACAGAGAGATAAATTATCATTATTAGTATAATGATTTTGATAATTTTCAGGCTTCCTTAAACAGTGACAGAAATATTGAGTGAGCTTTAGAGAGGAGCTTGCAGCGATTAAAAATGAAGTCTTTTTACTTCACCTTAGGTGTAGTGTACTTAATGTAGTGTACTTTTATTTATGGGACGTGTTTTTTTTTTTGCTTTCTTGAGCTTCCAATTGGTTAAGGTTCGACTGTAATTATTTCAGGCAATAAAAACTGGTATATACATACCTTTACCATACAACTCAACCCTCATACACATCCAATCAACGAATTCTTGAGGATAAATGCGAACGAAGGTAGCCTCTATGGGAGTCGGTAATATTTGTTTCTTTATAGAATGAGTATCAATGTTGCCTCCAAACACCTGGTAGGAAGAAAACATCATGTTATATATAATTTTATACATTGAGAAGGCCACACTCAGTGTAATTTGGTATCCCATAATCAACTGCTAGTGAGCTATAGCTGCATTCAGATTATGTAGGGGAGTTTTGACAATTTATCTGAATGATGCAATTATTATTCGTGATATTCTGTTTGTGTGACATCATCTAACAACAATGAATAGCGCAGTGCTCCATCATAATAAATTACAAGCTTATCAAGTATTTATCGCTAGTTGATAAAAAGTTGATTAATTTTAAAACTATTCAAGAAACGACCGCCAAAGTAGCAACTTTTCCTTCGAATTATCTAGGAACTATTTCTTGACTTTAATTTTAAGTCAACATTGACGATACCATCCCAAACGACGTTTCGCAGGTAGCGACATTTTAAGTTTTTTCCAATAAACCATCCCTGTATTCATGGCAGTTCTTCCCGTTCCACCCGTTCTTGTTCCTGTTGAACAAGAGGAAGATGAAAGAGCTGGCGCTGAAGTTGTACCAGTTGAACCCAAAGTATTTCGCTTTTGTTAGTTTTTGTTTGTTTGTTTGTTTGTTTTTTAACACCTGTTGGCTTACGTTGGTTATCTGTTATTCTGGGTTAACTTTTACTTGCCTGTTTGTTCGTGTTTTGTTTCATGTATTTTGGACGGTGTTACGTATTTTTTTTCTTAGCACTTCCGTTTGCGATGTATCTGCTTGTCACACATCCTTTATCCAGGAAGTTTTATGCTAGTTAACCGTAAAGCACTTAATTATTTCAAAATGACAGATCCGGGCGGTTGATTGTCCCAGTTCCTCTTCATTGTATGTGTTCTAACCCGTGCAAAGGACCACATTTAGAGGAGCGATCTTAACATTTATCGAACGGATAATATTAAACTCCATTTGTTTCAGTAAGGGGTGGGGGAAAGGGTAGGAAGTTATTTTCTTTGTAGGTTTTATTCTTTACGTATACCTTTTCTTGACCATCTCCTCTTTCAACTTTTTTCCATTCTTCTCCATTGACAGAGTATTCCAAAAAGTAAGATTTGACAAATGAGGTCCCTTCTTGTTGGCCAGCACCTTGGGTGGCGATCGCACAGACTGTTTTGGACTCAGGTAACTGGATCTGTAAGTACTCTCCTTTGTTACTGTTTTCAGCACACCAGCTTAAAGGTCCATTTAAACGACCATTAGATGGATTAAAGAGATTTAAAAAGTGCGAGGAAGCTGTGAAGCTCGAGCTTGGCAATTTTCCTCCTTCTTCAGCCCCCAGAGGGTCACCTTCACATGGAGTCTCTATAAGGGAACCTTATGATAATCATTGGGATTTTTAAACTCAGTGATTTATTGCGGGTTCGTCAGACACGTTTTTTTTAACAAATATAAGATTAAAGGGTTAAATTCCCCTTGGAGAGATAGTAAATTATTGCTTGTTTATTTTCACGTTGAATGAGAGGAATCAAGAGAGGACAAAGGGGACAGAGAAGGCATCCTCCATACACACCCTATTCCATAGGTAATTCGTCTCGAGTTATTTTTAGCACCGCAGATCTCAAGGGGAATTAGACAACAGCCAATCACATAGCGCGAATGTGTTCCGCGTGGATGACCCACGCTCAGAGGCACGCGTCCTTCACGAATTGACGCAGAACAAAATGGCGGAAGACGCGGAGAGCGATATTGCTATTCGTTTTGTCGACGAAAACGACTACAGAGAGATTTCTGCTAAAACTGTGTCAGCGAAACGGAAATTAAAAAAGAATCGCCCCTCCACTCTTGTATAGAGCTGACAGTACAGCAGGGAAATCGTTAACACACTGAATATTCTCTCAGGATCATTTATCATATATCTGATGTACGCTCTGCGAATGCTAATGACTCAACCGTGTGAACGCCTTGCCACAATTACTGTTCCGGTGTAAGGTTGATACATTGTATTGTTTTCTTACCAGGTAGGCTGGGTTATCGTTTGCTTATGGTTTTTACTTGCATGAAAGTTCTCCATAAATAGGTTAGGTTAGTTAGTTAAGATTTTATTGTCGAAACGTTCCGTATAAAATAGGAGCTCTGCTTTTACGCTTGCCTCAAAAAAGAAAACATGCTAGTGAATACCTTCCGAGTAGAAAACGATTTATTAAATATGATGTGAACAGGATTATTTCTGACCCACCTGTTGCTGCTGGTGACTTTGTAGATGACTGTAACTGATGCATTGCTGTATGAATTAGATATAAAGAAACAAACAGAGAAGTCCACTGGATACCAATAATATTTTTGATATTCTTTGACCATGTGAAGTATCAATGGGCTTACCCTTTCCAATTCTCATCTGCTCTTATTGCTAACAAGTTTAGTAACTTTCTCTTAGTCGTAAGCTGTCCCACGATGCCCAGGTAAGAGAAGGTTTACAGTACCGAAGCATGTAGTATGTTTGTGTAATAATCACTTTGCTTTTCATTTTAAACTTAAGGTAACTTTTAAACTCAAGGTAGTTTCATTATACTGGGGGTAAAGATAATGCTGCTAATGTAACGCTAATAAACCAAGTCAGCCCTAAAAGGTAAATAAATAGTTTAGATTACTGGACGGCGGTCTGAGGAAGTACCCAGTTTCACTACAATTGTGGCATGTTAAGAAGCGTAAGGAGTGGTTTACTGTGTTTTAACTTAAAGCGTTCGGGATTTTTACTAAACCGGGCCTTGACATGTTTATTCTTCCCTAGTTAATAGAGAGATTTTAGAAGTAATTTTGATGATATCGTTCCCGTTTAACAAAGTTAAGAGTAAAACTTGGTACTGTAATGCACTGTTACTACTTAAATCAATATCTTACCAGGCTCCGTGGGCTCAGTCACCGCAGCTATAACTAATTTAGAATGAGAAACGAACATAGGTAAGCAAAATGGACTGAAGCAAAGTAATAACAAAAACACTTCACCCTTAAAATAAAGTAAATGGCCAGGAACATTCAATGCATGGTTTTCCAAGAACACAGGCAATAAATATTAACAAGAACAATTTAAAATCAAATAAGATGATTTACAGAAGTCAAATAACCAGCAAAAACGTCGAAAAGATTCCTTTAAAAGTAATGCTCAACAAATTTTAACTAAGATCAAAGACAATAAATGGAATGCTCAAGGAAATGTGGCTTAAATAACGAACAGTGGTATTCCTTTTGTGGTTTTTAAAACTATATAAATGATAAAGTAAAACTATTCTAGCAGCGATGAATCGTTAGAAATCACATGATCTACTGTGAGGTGCTGAGGGAAAGAATATTAAAGCGCAAAGAGACAAAAAAGCTTGGAAAATTTTTGCGTGACAAGTTTTAGTATAATTTGAGTTAGGTGTCAAAATTCTCTTTTAATTAGTTGTTCAGACTGAGAAATCAATTCCGCAGAAAAAAAAAATTGTTAGATAAACCTGAAGAAAAGGAAGAAAAATAAACAAATCAAAGAGAAAGAAACAGTTAAAGAAATCACATGAGTATTTACCACTTGTTGTTGATTCTTCTCCTTCTGGAAATTAGGAGAAAGAAATCAAGGAAAGAATATCATTAAGGAATCAGTTTGAAGTAATCAGGACATTCTGGAAAGGTGTGATTATTTTCTCAAAAGCAGCCAGGGTGTAATTTTTTTTTCAACCCAATGCAATGCAAGATGTTTTTCTTAAGATTTGTTTTGCAGGATTTTTTTCTGTTTTTGGACTCCACCTCCCTTCACATTTGTAATGGTACATCCCTAAGCAACATATGAAGAAAAAAACGTCGTAAGGAAAAATAAATATCATGTAAGGATTAATTTCTAGATCTCAAAAGATCTAGATCGAGACGTCTAACGCGTGACATCGAGAAAACACTGCCTTGATTTTAGTGCATTAGAACATTTATTACGAGTTATGATAAGAATAAATAAAACTAACCTATATCAAATAAAATATAACTAATGACAAACCTTCTGTAGCTGTTTCCACTGATGCTTAACAATAAAGAAAAAGAACGAAGAAGTCCGACAAAGTCAAGATTTGGAAGATACTGATAATGAAAAAGATTCGAAAGTGAAATAATTTGTTGTCCAAATTTCCTCAAGTTACACACAAGAATCGCTCTACAAATATTTTTGAAATAAAAAAAACTGAAACTAGTCAACAAAAGAAGCAAGTTAAAGCTATGGAAGCAATTCGAAATCAGAGTTAAAGCAATAAAACATATCTACCACTTGTACTTGAGTTTTCTTCTCCAACAAAAAGAAAAGGCAATTATATAATTAGGCAACAACCGAAATGGTCAAATATCGGTTGTTGGTTTTAAAGGTAAAGTGAGGTGAAATAAGACAATGGTCACCATTAGGTGACCATGCATGAATATTTACCACTTATGCTTGTAGTTGATTCTTCTGGTGCTAAGTAGGAAACAATACATGATATTTAGAAAAAAAGCTGATAAGGAATTTTACGAATGATTAAAAAAAAGATAAATGTTATTCAATTGATAAATTGATTACAAGAAATAGTCAAACAAAGGATTTTTGTGCTGAAAAACAGAACAGAAGAGTAATAAGTAATTTAAAAAATGGATAAGTAAAATAATAAAAAATAAAAATCAAAAGACTGGTGTGATAACACTGGGGTGTTTACCAATTGTAATTTATTTTTGTTGTACACAAATGTTACAAAATTTTCCCATTTTTCTTTCACGTTTAAGTTTCAACTTAAATTATTGGAACAGATTTGTTAGGCCTGAAAAATTACTATAGCGGTGTGAAGTGGTGGTCTAACGAAATTTTAGCGTCTGTACAATCGCCGTTTATTGTATCGCTAAACAGCTCAAAGTAAAGTGTAGTGGTGTAGCAAAGGAATATGTTTAAAGATTTGTTCAAGATAAATAAAAGTTACTGAAAAAATCATAAGTTAAAAACTACTTCACGATTATTTACTTTTATAAGTGTTTCTAGTTCTAAGTAGAAAATTGCAATATTTTATGATGATGATCATATAGGGTTTTAACCGATGAATGATTTTAAGAGAAAAAGATACGTAAAGTAGTTTTTTTAGAAAATAATTCTAAAGAAAGCTGGAAGGCATGTAAAACAAAAAAGAAAACTATTGAAATAAAATATTCAGTTTTTATAGAATATTTTTAACAATTGTGGTGCTTATAAATGTCGGTAAAACTAAAAAAAAAATGGCTTAAGTGTATAATAGTAAAAAGGGCATATCTATGCATAATGAGAGAAACACTGGATATTAGATATGAAGAAATACCAACCTTTTGTGGTTGATTCTTCTGATGCTGAATAACATAAAGAGATAAAAGAACGTTGTTATTGCGAAACGTGCTTGGAAATGAAACGAGGCTGGGAGTGAGACGTTTACGTGACTTCATCAGTACAAAAACCTTTTTTACTTTATCAGCAAACGAAAATGCCAACTAGAGGTCATAAAGTTTTGTTGGTGCTTGAAGTAGAGAAACGTGGTTGTAAGAAAAAACTGTGGTCATAATACGTTGACTAAGAAATCTAATAATAATAATAATAACAATAATAATAATAATAATAATAATATAGTAAGAAGAAGAATAACAATAATAATAATAATAATAATAATAATAATAATAATAATTATAATAGTAATGATGATGATGATGATGATGATGGTGATGGCGGCGATGATGATAAAACATCAGAGATAATACTTAACACCTGATGTAGTTGACTCCTCTGGTCCTAGGAATAAAATAAAAGATGTTTGACGTATTTTGATAGTAAAAAGAGAAGAGAAATTAAAGAAAAGGTAAAGAGAAGCGAAATATAAGAAAAAGTGTGGTCATGACTCGGTAAATGAGAAATCCAAATAAAAAAAAAAACAACAAGCAGGCATAAATATTTACCACTTATACTTGTAGTTGATTCTTCTAGTGCTACGTTGGAAACAAGGAAATGATATTTTAGAAATACAGATAAGGAAAAGATTCGACTACCGAATAAACAAAAAAACAATAATAGTAATGATAATGATGCGAAAAAGCCGACAAAAACGTCAATAATAATTATTCACTACTTGTAGATGAACTCTTTAGGCTTTTAATCGAATCACTTTGTCAAATTTTCTCAAGTTATTTGCAAAACTCGCTCTACAAAACATTTTTCAATTTTCGAAATATATTTTTGTTTTGTTATTTTGTCTTCTTTACCATATAAGTATCGGTTAGACTAAACGGTAAAAACAGTAAAAAAGGATTTCATGCGAAACAACCGGCAATACATGTATCAAGCTAAGCATTTTGATTCTAGACAAAAAATAA